GCCAGAAAACATTCTTCTGGATTATACTGGACACATTGCATTGTGTGACTTCGGGTTATGTAAGCTCAATATGAAGGACTCAGACACGACGAACACGTTCTGTGGCACACCTGAATATCTTGCACCGGAGATCTTGAATGGTCAAGGATATAGTCAGTTCCACACCGTCGCCTGTCGTATGATTTCCTGATCATCTATTTTAGACAAGTCAATTGATTGGTGGACTCTTGGTGTACTTCTGTACGAGATGCTCTCCGGTCTTCCACCCTTCTATGATGGTTTGTCCTATTACTGTATTTGTGTCTCTGCCATGAACCATCCACTTCAGAGGTCACGGACAAGATGTACCAGAAGATTCTCTCTGATCCGCTCACCTTTGGCCCCGACATTGGCACAGAAGCCCGAAGCATCCTGACTAGTCTTCTCAACAGAGACCCATCGAAACGGCTTGGAGTGAACGGCGCTGAGGAGATCAAGAAGCACCCATTCTTCGTAAACCACATAGACTTCAAGAAGCTTCTGCAGAAAAAGATCCAGCCGCCGTTTAAACCAAGTGTCTCAAGTCCCGTGGTAAGTGCATGTCTCCCCGGGAGTACGTGTTTGTTGAGCGTGTCGATGTTCAGGATGTTTCCAACTTCGACACTGTCTTTACGGCCGAGGCGCCTATCGACAGCTATGTTGATGGCTCCCACCTCTCATCCACCGTCCAAGCTCAGTTTGCTGGTGTGTCCATTACGATGTCCTTGTAGATATCAGAAATTTGACTCACCCTGTCTGCCATAGGATTCTCGTATAATGGTTCCAACATGCCTATCAGTTGATAGGTCATCTCAAATCTCATTTAGTGGATATAGCACTGGTATCATGTATTTGTTGTCGCATTGCACGTACATTCTGTAATAACTGCTCAATCAGCGTATTTTTGATATTGGTTAAACAGTTCTGGTCATAGTTTTCAAGGTGATCAGATTGGGTGGATGATGACAGGGGTAATTATTTCCAGATAGCACACAGTCACTTAGTCAGACAGCCAATCACCAGTCTGAAGTGCTTACGACCATCAGTATGGCCACTGTCCGCTCATTACATTCGTTCAGACTATGATCCTGCTGATAGAGAGCAGCTAGAGAAGGACACAGGCCAAATTCCAATAGACGAAGCAGAACAATGGAAACACAGCCCCGACTTTCTCTGCTGCTCGCCACGCCCCACCTCCATCCTTTGTTCCCGCGCGCATTCAATATGACGAGTGGGGTTCTGCTGTCTCGCTTACCCATGAAGTATCTGCGAATGCCTCTGCTCCAGATAGTGGAACCTCTGAGTGGTACAGAGCTTGACAAGAGATAACTCAAAGACGTTGGGGAACCAACCACCAGCCAGATCGTCAAGTACACCCAGTGAGGATCCCAAGCCAAAGAAGGAGACTACCACCAAGAACAATTGGTTCATTAAAAGAGCGCTCCAGTCTGAACCATCAAGCAAACCCAGTTCTCCCGCACCGTCATTGGCAGACCTCATTGCACGAGATCCACCACCACTACCATCGGAGGGACGTTTTGTTCCTCCAGTCTGGTTGGCAATAGGGCCATCCAACAAAGGCTTCAATCTACTACAGAAAGGTGGTTGGAATGAAGGAGAAGGGCTTGGTGCACACGTCACTCGATCTCTGCGCCCCCGATCGCCAACACACACATCATCTGTATCACTCTCGCATGCACCCTTGCAGGGGCAAGTATACCGGTCGGCAACGAGAAATCTCGAGACATACCGTCCGACGTCATTGACCTCACCCAATCTGAGTCAGAGTCAGAAGATGACTTTGAATCTTTCCACCAATCTTCTTCCCTTCCGCTTGCTCCAGCGTCTGGTGCATCTAAAGACCCTGATCCGTACTCCCAGAAGTCGCTGTTGACGCCTATTCCAACGATACTCAAGTCTGACCGCCTTGGGATTGGCTTGAAGGCGAAAACGGAGGGTCCATACAAGCAGTCTAAGAAGCGGGTTACTCATAACCAAGCGGCATTGGCATCCCACATCAGGATCTCTGAGGAGCTGCGAAGAAAGAGAGCCGAGGTCGGTCGAGGTCGAAGAGGATTTGCGAAGGTACGAAAGCGCGAAGAGAACGAAAGGAAACGCATGCTCGCCTATCTTAATGAATAGTTTTGACCTCGGATTAACTCAAGAGATCAAGTGAATTGCATGAAAACCACAAACTACACAGGAGCAATATTTTAATAAGTGACAGCCTTTCGTTACATACATAATGTCGTGACGTGCAGACACTGTCGTGCGGGTAAGTACAATATACAAGCAGTACAGGAAATCCATATAGCACGCATCAATTCAAGTATTTGCAGTCTAGGTGTGTATATTCGTGAGAAATATTAATCGGGAGCTGCTCGGCACTAGGGTAGGATAGACTCTCCCCATATCCCTTTTGCTGGCTCACAGCGAACATCGCGGACGTACATCTTGAGCCACTGCACCATCTCTTTGCTGATCTGATGACAGCGTGTAACATCGATCGACGACAAGCGACAAGGCTGCATTGTGGGCGTCGCAGGACGGCTAAGGGACAAGGCGTGGATATGAGCAGAGGCAGACGCGGTGGATACGAAGGATGAGCGCGAGGCCACTGCAGCCGAAGCAGAAGAGAGTTGAGGTGGGCGACCGGAGAGGCGAGATTCCACAAGTCCTCGTAAAGCATCCCATTCGAGTGCAGTGCACCCGTCAAGGTTGAGACGGTCTAACTTGGGGCATACCCAAGGATGGGCCACAGGCGGCGAGGAAAGATTCTAATGAGAAATAATTGGAATATGCGCTAATGACACGGTTACGTGGGTGCTCACCTTCAACAGGAAGCATGTGACATCCTCTACGTCGACCAACTCCAGAGTAACCAATGATGTAAGCCGCCGAAGTAACATTATAAACTTCGGTTCGTTCAAGAAACTTGACTCAATACGAAGGTACTTGAGCGGAAGGGAAGTAAGAGATTGCTGTCGAAGGTGCTCCAAAACTGGTGTGAGGTTGTCGAGATAGCAGAAGTCGAGCGACTCAAGCGCAGGGAACGATATTTGACTAAGAAGCATCCGTGTACGCATGATGCCTGCGTAATAGAACGATGCCTTTGTAAGCTTCGGGAGTTTCACGACCTTTGTAGACATAAACTCATGTTCGAGAGAAACACAAGTCTCGGGATCCACGTCTGACATGTTGCGCAATGCAAGTTCTTCGAGACCTGGACAGCCTCGTAGGATGTCTAGCAAGGTGTCGACGGACGGTGAAGACCCATTCCAGTAGCCCCCTAGTTGGAGCACACGCAGGTTTGATACGACTCTCCTGTCCCAGTTGAAGTTAAAGGACGTGAAAGAGCACGAACGAAGACGAGGAGTATGCCCCTTAAAAAGCGGAAGGCAGGGGCTGGAGTAATGGTCTTCCTGCATAGAATGGAATACGCGGATACAAAGACTTTCCAGATAGGGAGCTTCTTCTCTACAGCGCAGAAGGGCAGCATGTGCCTGTGGTTTGTTGGGAACACTGAGGCGAAAGGACCTTGCTCGCCAAAGCGCAGGACGAATGAGATCCATTGCATGGATGATACTCTCCATGGCGCCGCTCGAATTGTCAACTCGAGGAGTGAAGTTGATTGTGATATCGAGAGGCACCGACTTTGAACGTGCGAGCTTGCGATGCGCTTTCTCAAGGGAGTCGTGCGGACTCACGCAGATATCCGCCCACAGCTCTGGGGTGTCGATGGCGACATCCCTCCAATATCGGCAAACCAACATTAAGGTCGCTACTAATAGGGGGTCCTCCTCTCCCATATTACACACTCCTGCAACGAATATCGACGAAAGGAGTTCTTCTGGAATTCGATGGATAGGAGATTGGGATCGAACAACTTGTTCCAGGTGCGACTCTAGCTCCTGGCGCTGATTGAGCAAGGATGCCATCTGTGTATCCAGGGAGTCTAGTGCCTCCCTCAAATGAGGAATGGACACACCCGGAGTCGAACTTCCTCCTGAGAGCGAGTGGTCGACATTGTATCGTGTAATGGATAGTGCAGAACTTTCACGACGACGAGGCGGTCTGCCGTTGGCGGACGGCGTTGGGATAAAACCTGGAATGCATTGCGAAACTGGTTGAGATAGGAAATGAATTGCTTCATAAGGTGGAGGAGGAGACGTTGGCGATGAGGACGTCGAGGACGATACGCTAGATGGCCGAGTGAGAAAGGTGGCAGTTACATCGGGTAACTTTGAACCACGACGATCAGCGATGATAGTGGTATCGTCCCTAACTGAGCGAGATAAAGATGGCCACTGCATCATATAGTATGATGGCTACAGGTGATCGATGGGTATGTGGTTGTCACTGAGCTCTTTATGAGTGCTGAACAACCGCACGTAAAAAGTGCTGAATTAATAACGGTGATGTGGTTGTAGGGCTTTCAGCAAAACGCGGCTTGACTAGCCGTGGACGTTTTCAAACACCACCTGTTCATAATTGTCATCGTAGTTAATCGATGATTAAGATGGGACATGCCTGTGTTTGTGATCATCTTGGTACGTACAGAGTTGACCGGACAGAAAGATGGGGACCCAATCCGACGAGAGGCTGGAAGGTTTTAAGTTGATCGCACGGATAAGAATGTACCTGCGAAATAATAGGATCTTGCGGTGTCCGTCGAGATTAGCACGAGGCCAGGAGCATGTTGTATTAAGTTACTCCAGGAGGACATTTCATCCGGAATTGTTTGATGAAACTTGCAACGTGCGGCGGCAAAATAGCAATTCGGGCACGAGGAGAGCAACGAGGCAAGGTGAGATTCAAACAAAGTGCAAAGTCCCTGGTTCGATCCGAATCCCCTTCCCACACAACTAACAAGAACTGCAAAATCCAGGGATATGGGTCATTTGTACCATAGACATCCTCCTTGATGTTTTCTGGGCAAAATAGCAATACAATCAGTTTCACGAGCGTGCACTGGTCATCTCCGTCAGCCCAGCCAAAATAAAGATACAATAGATAGCGTATGCCTAAGTTCGTAAAATTCTATTGGAAAACAGTAACGTACGGTCGTCTAATGGCAACGCTGAACGGGGATACACTTACGCCGGAACTCTATCGATCCAGCCTCTCTGCCCCGAAATAAATCCGTAATAGAAGAACTGGCTGAGCACCTAAAGTTAGGAGGATTAGAGTTCTGAGTGATGAAATCCATTTGGCAGAAAGCGATTGGACGCACAAGTATATCGAGAAAGATGGTCAAACCACTACCTGAAAGATTTAAGCGATTAGTCAACTGCATGTACCAAGTACATAAGTCATGAGCAAATACCTGCTAGCCAACTTGCATTCCTGATCAGATAGTCTGCGTCGCGAGATGCAGCAATAATAGATAATGCGTATGTCATGTTTCCTAGGATAGAGAAGACAAATAACCCAGGAGCAAGGCCCTCGCATCTGGTCTTGAAGTTCTTGACTGCATTGGAATTCAGAACAGTGGGACTGGCAATATGCGTGTGTGACACTGACCTATTTGCGGTAGCCGGGCACCAACTGTCGAGGAAGATAGTAAGTGAAGGCATCCACACATGGTGTGACAAGAACGCACGATAAGCAGTGGCGCTGGTCCACCCTATTAGTTGGACGTGCCAATCCAACTTCGTATCTGGAAGGGCTGGAGAAGTATCATCGTTGGGAAGCCAATTGCTGATACAATACGCCGCCACACCAGTGGCTGATATGAATGAGACAGCGGCCAGGTACCGCACAAAAATTCGCGTGACCGAGGGCCCTGGTCTTTCGGAGGGATCCGCCGAGCGATTATCAGCAATAAGGCAAGTTTCTTCGGAAACCTCCCCTGGGATGTGCACAGGTACAACGTGCCGCCCGGTTTGCCGCTTCCATCGGTAATAATATACTTGGCAAAGCAATGTTGTGTCGCATAAAGTGTACTAACCGATAAATGTGACATCAGGAAGGTAGCTTACAAGTAGCACATAAAACTCACATAAACTCCAAGAATAATTACGGTAGGCAGCAATCCAGCCATCACTGCGCCCATAAGATTACATACATCACCCAACAACCATACATAGATGAAAAGGAGAGATAAACCCTCCCCGCTCTCTAGTTGGTAATTCTCAATTATCTGAGGAGAATATACGACAATCCTGTAGAGGTTGTACAAGATGAGTCTGATTTTTTGACATGAATTCTTTGCCTCACTGACCAGCATGCTATTGAAATCCATCCAAACTTCAATAAAATTCGAAGTCAGCACAGGGTCAATTGAAATATGTAAAAACGCACGACACTGCTAGCTACATTTCCTTCTTCGAACATTGATGATTGACCGGTGGTGTCACTTGGTAGCTCAGCACTCAGTGTCCAGTACCAATAGATAAGATGCTAGTGGGAGAGATCAAGGTGACTAAATCAAGGTATAATTTTTGGGGGTTTCTGGGTTTGAAATTTGAAATTTCATGAAAGAGCACGTGACGGATGCCGGTGTGTGCGTACACCACTGGCTGCAGTAGGCTTTGAACTTTCTTTACAAGTCTCCAAAGCATACTCAACACTATGAACAGTCAAGACGCATTCAGAAAATTCGCTCAGCAATTACAGAGGGCTAGTCAGTCTGGAGGTGGTGGTGGGATGCCAGGAGGTCCAGGTCGCTTCCTCGCAGGCGGGGGCCTTATTGTCGCGTTGGTGGGCGGTGGACTTCTTCTGAATGCGAGCTTGTTCAATGGTGTGTCTCGTGTCGTGAATTCTGTAGTGGGTTCTAATAACCTAAAATAAGTTGATGGTGGCCACAGAGCTATTAAATATACTCGGTAGGCTGTTGTGTCGCGCGCTTTCTAAGTTGATGGCTCATCCTGCTTTAGTCTCCAAGGTGTCAAGGATGAGGTGTACAGCGAAGGGACACACCTCATGGTCCGTACCACTCTTTTTAATGCAGTTTGATTTGTTTTTTTACGCTCCTCAGGTTCCCTGGTTCGAGACTCCAATAGTTTTCGACATTCGCGCGAAGCCTCGGAGTGTAGCAAGTTTGACTGGCACGAAAGGTGACGTCTGCAGTTCGCGGCATGCTTGTACCCGCTTACTTTGGAACTGTAGATTTGCAAATGGTTAACATCACTTGCAGAGTTCTATCCCGACCCGCTGTATCTGCTCTGCCTCAAATATACCGCGAACTAGGAAAAGACTATGACGAGCGCGTGCTACCGTCTATCGTCAACGAAGTTCTCAAAAGTGTAGTCGCACAGTTTAATGCAAGTCAGCTTATTACACAACGTGAGATGGTGCGGAGTATTTTCAACTGTTGCCTGTGGTAAACTGACGATGAGTTTTGTGTCAAGGTGTCCCGATTAATTCGTGAAAACTTAACAAATCGCGCATTACGCTTTAACGTGGTGCTGGACGATGTGTCTATCACCCACGTGGCATTTTCACCCGAGTTTACGCATGCTGTTGAGGCCAAGCAGGCGAGTAATATGGTACTACTTCGCCCATCTGCAAAGTTAATTCCGCCCTAAAGGTAGCTCAACAAACAGCTTTGAGGGCTGCCTTCTTGGTTGACCAGGCCATTCAAGAAAAGCAGGTAAGATTCCCTTGTAGCGATTACCGGTTTTTCTTGATTCAGATGCATATTCTGCAGTCTATTATAGTGCGAGCCCAAGGTGAGGCAAAGAGTGCTGAGTTGATCGGCGAAGCTATGCGCACGAACAAAGGATTTCTGGAGCTTCGTCGACTTGAGGCCGCAAGGGATATTGCCAACATGTTGGCCTCCTCAGGAAATAAAGTGATGTTAGATGCCCAGAGCCTCTTGTTGAATGGTATGATGTCTTCTGCTTTGTGATGACCGCTCCTAACAAATTACTCGTTTACAGTGACTGGAGAAGACACAAAAGAGTTGCTGAAAGTAAAGAAGTAATCTTATTGCCTGGTCCACATCTCATCATCATCGTCACCGCCGCTGCTAATAAAAATGCATATGTTGACTATGAGCTTATATATTGAACTGCAAACTACAGGGACGCACATATCTGAAGTGAAGCATGATGCATGAGGGCTCGGTGGCACTCTTGTCCATGATCACATCATCCTTTCCACTCCAGCGCGCGTCGTGCTATGTTAACTACAAAACATGGGCATGCGAATAATGTCGCAAGCGTCTTCAAAATTTCGTGGCATGATCGACCTTCTGATTAATGCGTCTAATTTTCTACGATGACTCGCTTGCCCGACTTGTGCTACATGCCTTTTCCTTTATACATGGTTATATTAAATGACAACCTCTTTCTTGACACATTTGCTTGGCTGCTCGCGCGTCTCTCGTAGACAACTCGAGCCGGAGTCCACTGAACTGGAACACAGATGAAAAGATAAGTATATACAGAGCATAAGCGGGATTTTCGGTCATTTACAGAATGGATGACATGCAGGGAAGTGTTGGCGCTAGCAGTGGGACCGCACATGACATCCTATGCCATGATTCAGATCTGCAGACCTGACAATGATAATTTGCGAGGACTCAGGACTGGCGGCACGATATCAGTTGTTTGGATCCAAAGCTTTTGCCAAACAGCCCCACAGTACGTAACGTAACAAATTCATAACTTGTTGCTTCGCCGCTTACTACCATCCACAGACAGACATCGGAACGACATGAAGAGGACAAAACAAAACAGGTTTTCTAATCACCGTAAAAAGAAAGTTGCTAAGAGCACGCAAAACCACGAGCAAAACCAGACAGCCGAGTCTGGCACTGAAGAGAGCGTCCAGCTGCCACGAAAGAAAGTAAGATGGGAGGGCAATTCCGAATCAGTGGCAGCTGCAGCAGGTATGGAGAATGGTAGCTCAGAGGACGATGCGAGCACATCAAAGGTAAAGTTTTGCAAAAACAGTCGTGTCCCGTAGAGCTCACCATCTAGTTAGATCTGCTTGACTATTTCCTGCCAATCGTAAGTCGTCCAATGAGTATGTGTTCCAAATGCATATAAGTGCGGTCACTCTAGAGGACGTGTTGCGGGCGCGTACTATGATTCTGTTAGGTGCATAGTCTATGTACTTGAAGATACGCAAGAGGATGTTCACTTCGATCTTACGAACATGCGTTGAGTCGAATCCTTCTCATCATTTTACCCATATGAACCTGTACCAGTTCTCGAACAGTGCAACGCTGACGTAGTGTTGACTAGCTCCAAAGCCGATGACCCATTTATATCGGTCCTTCAGAAATTTGGTATGTTCTCTACTGTCACTGCATATATGCGCAGGTACTTAATCCAACGACTCAGCTGAGGCTTCTGGAGGGGTCTTTCAAATCAGGCCACATAAAGAGTTCACTCCTCACAGAGGGAGAGACCGCTTGCTGTCGCTCCGTTTTCTCTCCGAGTTGACAACCGAAGATACTGGTCAATGTTTGTCATCCGACAGCAATTCAGGCGCTGAGCCAAGAAACGCATATGAATTTATGCAAAAACGCAAACAGGCAGCAGGCGACCCAACCATGAAAAGATGGAATGCGGCGATTAGGTTGGCCAACTATGCATCGGTGGAGTCTTCTCTTTGTGTGCGTCTAGATACTCGGGTGCAATGTTTTGTCTCATCTGTGAAACTATAGATCTCGTGCCTCGGCGCTCTGCTCGACTACCTTGCGAGGGAGCGAGCGGCAGGCGACCTGGATAATGATGCAGGAGTCGAGGGGCTCAACATCTCTGGCATCGAAGTGTTGACCATGTAAGTCGGTATCGCGAACGCTTCATATAGCATCGCGTTGACTCCTTTCAAAGAGATCAGGTCATGCATATCAATGCTGACGCACTTTTGTAAGCGATGTATCAGGATGTTGCCTTGAGAGTACATTAACCGGCAGAGCACAGTTCCCTTCAGATATTCGAAAATGAGAGCCACGCGTCCATCCACTCTGATAAGACAAAAGAGGGGTTGTCGCTTTTTGGTTTGTTGTCACAACTTTCGATGTCGTCGCGTTCATCAATATGCTACAGGTATTCTTGACAATACTCGGACACCCTTGGGTCGTTCATTGCTCCGCACCTGGCTCATGCGCCCGTCTCTGTCCATTCCTGTTATCGCAGCCCGTCATGACGCTATTGAATGCTTTCTACATCCGGAAAACTTAGCACCTGCGAGTACTTTGCAAACTCACTTGAAGGGTGTCAAGAATATTCCGAGGATCCTCGGGCTCCTACAATCTGGGAAAGCCAGCGTTGGCGACTGGCAAGGCCTAGTGAAGGTATGATTTACCCAGTTCTCGCTTCAAATTCAATCCGACGTCAAGCGAAGTTCACATATCACTCTGCAATGATACGCGACGCCCTGGCGGAACTTCATGGAGGTGATCAAGTAGAGGTTGTACGTAAGGTATGGTATCAATGAGCGGCTCGCCAGGAGAAGCTGAACTAAATCAGCTGTTAGTTAGTTGCATCGTTGGACATTGCGAGTTTCAAGGACACCGGAAATGCTGTCAACGAGACAGTAAGCGCTTGTATCATTATTTCTATTTACTCATGTTCCCCTTCACTGGTTAGATTGACTGGGAGGAATCTACCAACAAGAATCGCATATGTGTTAGGCCGTACATTGATGAGGAACTAGATCAGAGGAAACACGTTTACGCTGGATTGGACTCTGTCTTGGTGGGGTTATTACTATCTCAAAGATGCTGTCATTTTGCTTATACATGTTATAGTGTAAAGTCGCTGAACAAATATGCCAGAAGATTCCTGTGGATTATACGGCGTCTCTAAACGTGGTATACTTCCCACAACTAGGTAATGCATTCTCGAACCTAGTATAAGTGTATTTTCAACGGTTTCTATCGGCAGGCTTTTTGATCTGCGTTCCAATGCAGGAGAAATGGAGGTCTGAGGAGGGCATCAATGTTCTAGACGGATGGAGCTTCCAGGTGAGTCCTGACGTTGTCCCTGCCGTATCTGATGTAACAGGCTGACTAAATCGCTCAGTTCTCCTCAGAGCGAGTGATAAGTCTTATCAATGATCGACTTTGTTGCTGAACGGCATCTTTTCAGTGCCCATGTGTATTTCAAATCGGAAGAGATGCATGGTAAGCTTGACATGAACCTTATTTCGAGAAATCGTGCGATTCAGGTCAAAGACATGGACACCCACATTGGCGATCTCCACCCATCAATAGTCGGTGCGAGTTTTGATATTTTCTCATCAGTAAGAGACTCACGGGTAACAGACCGTGAAATAGAGATCGTCCAGGAGCTCTTGGAACGGATCCTTGTATGCAGTGAAGGGATGAGGCACACATGTGACGTTTGTGCTGAACTAGACTGCCTGCTTGCCTTCGCCGAGGCTTCTCGAGCATACAATTACTGTCGGCCTCAGATCTCAGAGGATCCTATCATCGACATTGATCAAGGACGGTGAGCATTGTGGAATGCTACTCGCTACACTAGTGACCTTCTCTCGTAAGACATCCCTTACAAGAGCAGGTAGTCGACATTTTTGTTCCCAACAATGCTCAGCTTTTAGCTGGTATCGGTTTCGGTGACAGTGCTGAACCACAGACAGAAGTTGACAACCCGCCAATGTATAGCAGCATTGTTTTGTGCACTGGCGCGAATGCGTGTGGAAAAGTAGGTTCAAGTTACACGTCACAATATCAGCTAAATTCCCTCTTGCACAATGCAGAGCGTCTACCTGAAACAGGTAAAGATCTGATCACTCATACACCGGAATGTATTAAAATGAATACAGGTTGCTCTAATTCAATACATGGCCCAGGTTAGTAACCGTTCCGAGTTATCGGTCCACTTGTAACTCATTAATGACAACTTAGATCGGCTGGTAAGAAACTCGTGGCTGCTTCCGTGCTTCATGACCCTGCGAAGTTTTGTCCCAGCGGTATCTGCCACCCTGGGAATTGTCGACAAAAGTGACGTTCTGGACTTTTCCGCCCTGTGTCAACTAACTTTTCTCTGCAGTCTTTACTCGTATACAGACACGCGAATCAGTATCCAAAGTATTTTCGCAGTATCCCCGATTCCCTCCAATGCTGAACTAGTTGCAAGGCCCAATCTGCTTTTATGATTGATCTCAACCAGGTTTCCCTGGCCCTCCGAAATTGTACCGCAAAATCTCTCATTCTCCTTGACGAATTCGGAAAGGGGACGATTCCTGCAGGCTCGTTTGCTTCACGGTGCAAGCATAACTGTTGATTCTTACTTGTCCATAGACGGGACTGGATTGTTTTGCGGTGTCATCAAGCATCTTCTCAACCGAGGGTCTCAGTGTCCTAAGGTTTTAGCTGCCACACATTTCCACGATGTCTTCCAAAAGGACATGCTCGATCCCCACAAGTTCCCAATCACATTCCTCCACATGCAAGTCCTTTTCACTTCAAGCAAAGGCAACCTCAACCCCGGTGACGTGTCGATGTCTGGAGACTCAAAATCAACCGATCACGAACGACTGGAACCTACATCTGTTGTCGCCCCTGGAGAAAAGATAACTTATCTTTATCGGTATCTTCTGGGTTTATACGACCATCGACGTACCTAACCAATGGATCAGTGTCTCCCCGGGTCTTTCCCGCAACTCTCATGCAGCTCAATGTGCTACAATGTTTGGTTTGCCGTCCCGTATTGCGCAGCGTGCGCAGTACGTCAGGTAGTTTTCCTTCCTCTTGCGCACCTCATGGAGAGATTATTCACTGGTACGTCAAGCAAATTGTTGGGTGACCATGAACTCGGTCAGCTTTTGGAGGAGGAAATGACTGCGGAGGAGCAAGAAAATATCAAGGCTGCTGGGATCGCCACCTACAAATTTCTAGCCATGGATCTCACGAACGATTCTCATGAAAAAGACATCAAACCAAGGCTTGTAGAGGCGCTTGGCCGGGCTCCTCATGGATGACTATATTCTACCCATGCGCATGATACCATTGTAAGGATCGCTGTAACTCTAGAAAAATACAAGCAAGGCCTTCTCGCTCAATTCTCGGGGGAATATGTATTTTCCTGTCCTAAAATTTGTCTCGAGTGAATCAGCCGATGGACCTTCGGCCCGCCGAGTCTGCTATTAAACTAAGTCATTTCTACTCA